GTCGAAGGTGTAGTTCCGTGAATCGGGCAGGGCCGATTCGAAGGTGTAGTTCCGTGAATCGGGCAAGGCCGATTCGAAGGTGTAAATCCGTGAATCGAGCAAGGTTGATCTGAAGGTGTAAATCCATGAATCGGGCAGGGTCGATCCGAATGTGTAAATCCGTGAATCGAGCAGGATCGATTCGAAGGTGTAAGTCCGTGAATCGAGCAGGGTTGATTTGAAGGTGTAAATTTATGGATCGGACAGGGCCGATCCGAAGGTATAAATCCGTGAATCGAACAGGGTTGATCTGAATGTGTAAATCCATGAATCGGATAGGGCTAATCCAAAGGTGTAAATCTGTGGATCGAGCAGGGTCGATCCGAAGGTGTAAATCCATGAATTGAGTAGGGTCGATCCGAAGGTGTAAGTCCGTGAATCGAGCAGGGTCGATTCGAAGGTGTAAATCCGTGGATTGGGCAGGGTTGATCCAAAGGTGTAAATCCGTAAATCTAGCATGGTTGATCTAAAGGTGTAAATCTGTGAATTAAGTAGGGTCGATCCGAAGGTGTAAGTCCGTCAATAGAGTAGGGCTGATCCGAAGGTGTAAATCCGTCAATAGAGTAGGGTCGATCCGAAGGTGTAAATTTCTAAATAATACTTCATTAAATTCGGGCCATAAAGCCGACTATCTATGAGGAGGTGGATAGGCCTACTCATCCATTTTAAGTAAAAACAAAGAAAAACTGACATGTAAACAAATGAGTTCACCTAAAAGTAGCAGCATTTGAGATGGATGGCATTCCAGTTGTTGTCGATGTCTTTGCCTTCGAGAGTCTGGAGTCGGTAGGCATCTTTCCCCGCTTCTTTGGTGATCTTGTAGGGACCTTCCCAAGTGGGGTCGAGTTTGCTAGAGTTGATCTCCTTAGTGTTTTGAAAGACCTTGCGGAGGACCTAGTCACCTGTTTTGAAAGTTTTGATCCTCACGTTACGGTTGTAGTACCGGGTGGCCTGTTGCTGATAGATTGCATTGAGGACGCTTGCCCGCTCGCGTAGCTCATCGATAGTGTCTAAGGTCTGGCAAAGGTTCTGGTTATTGGTTTCCTCGTCCGCCCATTGGAGCCTGGTGGACGGAACTGATACTTTAGCTGGGATGACTACTTCAGAACCGTATGTAAGGGAGAAGGGGGTCTCGCTTGTTGATGAGGGAGCTGTAGTTCGGTAGGACCAAAAGACTCTGGGTAGCTCATCTGCCTATGCGCCCTTCGCTTTCTGCAATTGCTTTTTTAATGTATGCATGATGGTTTTATTCGATGACTCAGCCTGGCCGTTGGATTGGGGATTGCGGAGGGTGGAGAAGCTTAGCTTGATCCCCCACATATCGTAGAAATCCCTGAAGCCTGAACCGATAAACTGGGATCCATTGTCGGTGACGATTTCTTTTGGTATCTTGAACTTGCAGATGACATATTTCCAGATAAAAGCTTTTACCTCTCGGTCTCTGACTTGTGTGAAGGCTTCGGCTTCGATCCACTTAGTGAAGTAATCTGTCACAGCCAACATGAAGACTCGTTGCCCAGGTGTGGTCGGTAGCTTTCCCACTATATCTATTCCCCACTTCATGAAGGGCTAAGGGGTGAGGATGGAGTAGAGTCGCTCAGGTGGGAGGTGTGAGACATGAGTGAACCTCTGACAACTATCGCACTTCTTAACATAAGCAGTCGAATCAGTGTGAATGGTTGGCCAAGAGTATCCAGCGGTGATCACCTGGTGTTCCAGGTTGTGTCCCCCTGTATGGTTTCCACATTCATCTTCATGGAGTTCGGCGAGAATACGTTTGACCTCTTATGGGCTTGTGCACTTGAGGTAAGGACTAGAGAATGATTTCCTGAGAAGTTGGCCCTCATATATGGTGAACCTGGTGGCTCTTGCTCTCAGGCGGCATGCTTCGTTTTTGTTAGTCGGGATCTCGTTGTGTTCCAAGTACTTCACTATTGGGGTCATCCAACAGTCAGCTAGCTCAATGTCCATTGCTTCCTCGGGCGACTTGTTTGCTGGTTGTTCCTTCTAGTTGGCTAGCCATTGCAAGAATAACAGAAAGATGGATGATTGGGAAGAACATTGAAGCTCTGAGCCGAAGTTTGCAAGGGCGTCAGCGTGAGAGTTCTCCGCTCTTGGGACTTGGGTGATGGAGAATTCTTCAAATTGGGTCTGCAATTCTTTGATTAAGTTCAAGTAGGCCGTCATCTTCGAGTCGCGTGCTTGGTAAGTGCCTTGCAGCTGATTGACCACGAGCTGGGAGTCGGACTTCACCTTCAGTCTCCTTGCTCCGATTTCTTTTGCTAGGGAGAGTCCAATGATGAGAGCCTCATATTCAGCTTTGTTGTTCATGCACTTGAACCCACATCGTATCACCCGCTGGATGATGTCTCCCTCTGGTGTAGTCAATACAAGCCCGAGCCCGCTCCCATTCACGTTGATTGAGCCATCCATTGAGAGAGTCCACTTGAAAGGTGACCCACTGTTCATGCATAATAACTCCTTTCTGCTTGGACAGTGGTTTTCAGGGTGATATCTGCGATGAAGTCTACCAATGCTTGGGACTTGACGGCAGTACGAGGCTGGTATGATATATCAAACTCACTAAGCTCTACTATCCATTACGTGAGTTGGCCTGATAACTCTGGTTTACACAGTATCTTCTTGAGTGGAAACGAGGTGAGTACGACTATGGAATGACACTGAAAGTACGGCTTGAGCTTCCTGGATGCATGGATGAGAGCGAGGGCCAGTTTCTCCAGCTGACTGTGCCATGTTTCTACGTCGAGGAGTGACTTGCTTACATAGTAGACCGGTAGCTGCTTCGCACCCTCTTCCTGAACTAACACTGCTGAGATTGCTGTCTCTGAGACCGCCAGATAGGTGTAAAGCTTCTCCCCATCCACAGGCTTGGAAAGGAGCGGAGGGTAGGTCAGGTATCTTTTCAATTGTTGCAAGGCTTCCTCGCAGGAAGGGGTCCACTCGAACTTCTTGGATTTCTTGAGTGCATGGAAGAAAATGTGGCACTTGTTGGCGGATCTGGAGATGAAGCAGCTTAAGGCGGCTACTTGTCCTGCGAGGCGCTGGATGTCTTTGATGCAAGCTGGAGATGGTGTACTGAGGATCGCTCTAATCTGGTCGGGGTTGGCCTCTATCCCTCACTGAGTTACCATGTAGCCCAAGAATTTGCCTGACGAGACACCGAATGAGCATTTGGTTGGATTCAACTTCATGTTATACTTCCTTAGGATGGCGAACACCTGGCTGAGGTGGTCAAGGTGTTGTTCGGCCATCAGGGAGTTGACGAGCATGTCGTCGATGTAAACTTTCATAGCGTCCTCGAAGTGTTTGGCAAACATTTTATTGACTAGCCGCTGATAGGTAGCCCTGACGTTCTTAAGACCGAATGGCATCACTTTGTAGCAGTAGGTTCCCTTCTCTGTGATGAAGGCCGTCTTCTCTTGGTCGTCTGGGTGCATCAGGATTTGGTTGTACCCTGAGAAAGCGTCCATGAAACTAAGGAGCTCGTGGCTTACGGTTGCATCGACCATCATGTCGATATGTGGGAGCGGAAAGGAATCCTTAGAGCATGCTTTGTTTAAGTCAGTGAAGTCAATGTAGACCCTCCACTATCTGTTCTTCTTCTTTACGACCACGACGTTTGCCAGCCACTCGGGGTAGTGGACCTCTCTGATCATACCGTTACCTAGTAACTTTTCAATCTCTTCATTGATGATCCGATTGCGCTCTGGTGCAAATTTCCTTCTCCTCTGCTTCACTGGCAGGTGAACCGGATCTACTTTGAGGTGATGGACCATTGCCTCTAGTCTAAGGAATTCTATCAGTTTCTCTCTTGTCTTGGGCCTGAGGCGAGAACCTATGTGTGTCTTTCTTTCGGGGTCATCCAGATGTATCTGCACTTCATCCAACTCTTTCATAGGTGGTTGATCTGGCTCTGTTGGAGGGGTTAGATGAGATTATAATTGCTATGAAGCGTTACCTTTGCTCTTGAAGGCATTCTTATAACAATCTCTGGAAGCCTTAGGGTCGCCCTTGATCTCCTATACTCCCAATTTGGTACGAAACCTAATCGTTTGGTGGAAAGTGGATGGGACCGCTCGTATGTTGTGGATCCAGGGTTGACCTAAGATGACGTTGTATGGTGAAGGGCAGTCGATCACTAGAAAAACGGTCTGTTTGTTTACTCCGCTGGCGTAGATAGGAAGGACGATCTCTCCGATGGTGTATTTCTGCTTAGAATTGAATCCAACCAGTAGGGTCGGACGTCTGTTGATGTTTGTTTCTTCTAGACCCATAGCCTTCACTGCTTCAAGGAACATAATGTTTGATGAGGATCCCCCGTCTATGAATACCCTTTTAAATAGGATGTTGGCGATATGGAGAGAGATGACTAGAGCATCGTGATGGGGGCGGCCAGGGTGACCGACTCGTCATCTTTGAACTGAATTACCTGGTGGGAGTGTGACCGAGAAGGCGTATGGATGGATTGGATTTCATGGTAGCTGTTGGCTCTGGCATAGTGTTTGGCTGAGGAGTAACTAACCCCACTGATCTTTGACCTCCGGAGATGAGCAAGCAGAATCCTTTCGGCGTAGGTTCCCATGGAGGTGGAGATGTTTCTTTAGTGCTCTTCTAGCTGATGGTGTTCTTTCTTTTATCTATCAACAGATCTCGGAGATGTCCCCCCTTCAATAGTGCAGTGACCTCCAACCACAGGGTAATGCAGTCCCCGGTGTTATGTCCATGGTCGCTGTGGAACTCACACCTTTGGTTGTATCTCTCCTTGCTTCGGCATTGAGCTTGCTTGGCCACTTAGCGCTAGACCCCATTCCTTTCATGATCGCCACGACCTGGGCTGGTTCGACGTTGAGGTTGTATTTTGGGATTTTATATTGGATCAGGCTGGTTGGTTTGTTGTCGGTTCTAGGTGGCTGGCGGTCATATGGTTTCCTAACTTTGTTCTAGCTATGTGGAGGGGGTTGGTAACGGGGTTCAATTGATCCGAGTTCTGGCCTCCTATCATTTCGCCTTGGGTCATACCTAGCGTGTACTGCCCTATTCATCTCGTCTTCTTCCCACATTATCTGAATCACTGCTCGAGCCAATGCGTCCTCCATCGTGGTGCAGCCAAGCTTTGTCAGCTTTTTGTATAATTCTCTATCTGGGAGGAGACCATTCCTGTAGGCGTCTACGGCTGTCTCGGGGTTGCAGGAAGGAATGAAATTTTTTTCTTTGTTGAATCTGCTGACGTACTCTCTCAGCGGCTGCCCCATTCTCTGGTATACTCTATACAGGTCGGCCGATAGTTTCTCAAGTTTCTTGCTGTTGGCAAATTGCTCCATGAAGGTGTCGGTGAGCTGTGCGAATGAGTTGATGGAATCGTTCGAGAGATTGGTGTACCACTGAAGAGTTGGACCTGATAAGCTTGAACCAAAATTCTTACACATGTAGGTTTCTCTCAACGCTCGGGGTATTGAGATAGTGAACATTCGCTGCTTGTATGAGGCTATGTGATCATCTGGGTCGATTGTTCCGTCATAGGGCTTCATGCCAGGGATAGTGAATTTGTGGGGCATGTCGGCTAGTGCGATCGCATCCACGAAGGGCGAATCGGCATAGCAGTGAGGCCTGCTCTTTTTGGTGGGGATCAGCATTCCTGGTATGCACCTCATCACTGCCTCTATGTCAGCCAGCCTCTTGACCAATATTTGTTCCATGAGAGACGGGGATACCAGTAGGTCATCCCACTTGACTTGGTCGGTCAATGGATTCGCACTCGACACATTTTGTTAGGTCAATCCGCGTGGTGTATCCTGGTGGATCATTCCTTTGTGTATTGCTTAGTAGCTTGGATCACCGTTCATTCCTTCCAGTTGGGTGACTCCCATTGTAACTAATTAGGTGTTTCGCCCTACATGAATGGTCAAGGGGGTTGTTTAGTACTCGATCGGTCCATTGGGATGGATGGACTCGAGGGAGATGGTTTGGTGTGGGTGACCACTCGACCCGCGAGGGTGAACCGAGTCGAATGGAGTTTGTGTAGGGATGATTGATTGAAGGTGAGGTAGGATGGTAAGGATGGGCAGTTCTTATTGTAGCGGGCTTTCTGTCACTTGAACGCCTTGATCTTGTGCTTGGGACGGATCGACCGAGTGGGGTTCCGTTGGCAGATCCCTTTCTCCATGAGTCAAGACCGAATCGTCAACCACCGATGAACATAATTGATGCGACCTTTTATCTGAGGCCATGGGTCTGTGCTCTGGGGTGTGGGGAGGCTGCATAGATGGCACCGAGGCGCGAAACTGATTAGGTGGTACTTGACAAGGCAGAAGCTCAAGATCATAAAACCGACTTACTTTCTCTTTCAGAGACTGGTTTTCGGCTTTGATGGAGGCGTTTTTGGTCCGGATGGTAGTGTTCTTAGCTTCCAATGCGGCCACCTTATCTGAGTTTTGTTGCATGAGGGCAGTTAGAACTTCCAGTTTGGCCTCGAGGTTGGGGTTAGCTTTGTCAGAATTGTCAGCCATGGAAAGTTCCTTTACATAGCAGGGTTTGTTGAACCGAATGATTGCTAGAGGCTCCACGGTGGGTGCCAAATTGTAGACGTAAAAATCTACCTGTACGGAAGGAGGGACTGATCTCGTGAGGTTGAGGCCACTAGGATTTGCTATACCTACACACGTAGAGAAACAAACGTGAAGTGACGGAAAACACCGGGGTGGTGTTTGCCGTAGGCACTCCGACGCTTAAGTCAACAAGGCTGAAAGAGGCTGATTTAATAAGGGCTAGAGAGTAGAATGGTTACCAGAAGTCTAGTCGGGGACTGTGACTATGGCTGTAATGTGAAGTTCTCAAGTGGGAACTCCGGGGTCTGAAGGTGTAATGTCATCTGTCATGTGAAAGGGCTGGCCTCTGTTTGAATAGTGACTGTCTGGTCTCCCAATCCTACCAGGATTGGGAGTTCTCATAGTAATCCGTTTCCTCTAGGGATATATCCTTTGGCCTTATTATCCTGGCGTGAAAGGGAGTCCAAGTATGACTTTGACACGGACCTTGGAGGAGTTGGGATGATAGTGGACTGCTTTGTCAGTGTTTGAGTAAGAATGTGATCCGTAGGTGACCGTGGGCTCTGGATTCGATCATAGGTCCAGGAAGTGTACTGGGATTAGGAGGCCCGTGTCCAGATGGTTTGGACCGACTGGGCATCGTATCAAATGGGCCTTATTCGGGGAGTTCTGGCTTGGGCCGCATCGGGATTGGGCCTGGTCTTCTCCTCATTATCGGACTTGTTATCCCATTTGGGCCGAAGACATTTTTTGGCCCCAACACTTACCACAACCAATTTACACATGGGTGGGGTTTTAATTTCGATGGGTTTAGTCCATTTTACTCCTTTCTCGGGGGATGACCTCAAGACTTTGGGCCTTTAAAGATTGCAACTTTCTTAACAACTATATACTGGGATCAATGTAAAACAAACCCGGCTCGGGAATGGTAAATACTGAGCCTAGTCCTAGAATATAAGATCCGGATTTTTGTAACATTTAGATAACTCCTGCTAAAAAGATACATTCACATATTCTATGATGTAAAATTACAAAATCCCAACTATCATGAATTAAAATATTTTAGCTTCCTAAAAAATCACTTCCAACCATCATGGTCAGAAAAACCCTTCTTTTTTCAACCAAATCCAGACTTTTTCCCGAGTTTAGGATTGCATTTTTTAAATACACCTCGTGCCTAATCTCTGGGTCGTGGCATTTATATTCCTACAAGTACAACTTTCCATGTCTTAAGTTTTTTTTTTTTTTTATTATTTAATAATGATAGGGGGTATCTGAACTGACTTGCCCGTACATCTCAGCTAATCTCTCGAGACCTTGGAATTACCGACCAAGTAATAGTAGAGGTGGCGGTGGACAGTGTCGTGCTTAAAAATTCAAGGTCCGTCGTGCCGTGGGTCGTGCCGTGCCAAGGCCCGCACAGTTTCGTGTCCTGTCGCGCCATGCCGGCCCACAAAATTTGAAGGCACACGGCACGACCCGTTAATATTGTGCCATGCTTTGGGTTGTGCCATGGGCCAGCCCTTGTGCTTTGTAAAAATATTTAATTTTAATATTTATAAATAATGGTAATTTTGATTTATTATTAATAATTATTTTTAAAATATTTTATATGTTATATTTAGTGACATTTTGTATTTATATTGATTAAAAATATATAATCACTATGAAATATAATAAAATAACAAGACAGTGAAATATTAATTGAATTTCAACACTTTTTATTACTTATAAGTTATAATTATAAATTACAAATACAAACTTAGAAAATAGGATTAAGAATTATTATACATCTTCATTTTCATTAATTTCTAAATTCTTAAAATCTTCAAATATATCTTCAGCAACATGATTTTGAAGCTTGAAAGCTGCCGCCACCCAATCTTTCATACACATAATGGCTTCAACGACACTTTTAAAAAATAACTATTAATTTTATTAATTTATTATTTTTTTTGGTGCTAGCCCACGAGCTTTTTTTAAGGCCCATGACATGACTCGCATATTTTCGTGCCGTGTCGTGGGCTGGCACGACCTATCGTCGGCTCTAGGTAACAGCTCTAATGGCCACCCTTATTAGGGGTTGAGGTGAAACAAACACATGAACTCTTAAATAGTACACACAATAGTTTTAGTTGACTATTCGGCCACGTAGTGGTGGTTCCATGTCTAAGTTTAAAGTTTAGAATTGTAGTATTTTTACTTTGGAGTAAATAAATGTCATACATAATTATTTGAAATCAATTGAGTTTTTTTTTTATATAATATGACATATTATTATTAACTTGATATTTATATTTGATTATATTATACATAATTTATATATGTATGGAGAAAGTTTCGTACATTTGATGATAAATATTTGGTATGTATTGAACTAGACCTAATGAGATATTTATATTATAAAAGATAGAGTAAACGACGTGTTCACACCCGAGGTTTAATAAAATCCTGAGTTCATACCCTTGATTGCATTTATTCTAGATTCATACCCTTAAACTAACATTGTTACTTAATTTTGAATTTTGGCTTGTGCTATTACCATCCCACCATTCACATTTTATTTCACCCTAGTCAACCACCACCACCACAAAGCCGCTAGTGTTTTCAGCCTTGTTTTAGCTGCTTTTTCACCCAAAATCACTTCTAACCTCTTCCTTGTAAAACCTACACCAAAACTCACCAAACCCCTTCACCGTTGCACACTCTGATCGCAGGAAAAAGACCTCCTTAGCGATTGCGTTTTCTCCCAACTTTGCGGCCAGATTCCGATTGATTTCCTTGTTGAAAATTCACCCCGAAGCCACCAATCGAATCCCCTTTATTGCGTCTACAAAACCCACCCTCTCATCGGTCGTCGTCAATCGCTGTTTGCTGCCCAAGTTCCATTCCCACCGCTGTGCAACAACTTTTTTTGCGCCCTTTTTCCACCATTTTTCTGCCTTTTTGACACCCCCTCTCCCAATCCTCCTCTATGTTGCTTTGTTGTGGTTTTTGTGCATTCTTTGGCCACTGGTTATTATCCACCAGCGCAAAATCTCCATTCAAAGCCACACCCACCAGTTGTTTGAGGAAATTCTTCAACCAGTTGCCCAACCAAGCACATGCCGTTTTTCGACGATCGAAGGGTGTAACGATGAAGGGGTTTGATGGATTTTGGTGTAGGGGTTACAAGGAAGAGGTTAGAGGTGATTTTGGGTGAAAAATAAGTCGGAACAAGGCCAAAAACGCTGGTGGCTCGGTGGTGGTAGTGACTGGATGGTGATGGTGATTGCGGTTGGGTGGGGTGAAATAAAATGTGAAGGATAAGATGGCGATAGCACAAGTTAGAATTCAAAATTAACTAATAGCATTAGTTTAAGGGTGAGAATTTGGAATAAATGCAACCAAGGATATCAACTTGAGATTTAGTTAAACCTCAAGTGGGAACATGTCGTTTGCTCTAAAAGATATTATAATATACATGGGCATGTTTGGTAGATTATTTGAAAAATGTTATTCTGAAAAACTATTTTAAGTTGAGTTGAGTTGGATTAAATTGAATTGGATTAGATTCTGAAAATGTTGGTAAAATATTTGAAAAGGATATTCAGAGTTTGATAAAATGTTAAAATGTTGAATAGCTGTTTGGTATTTTTTCTGAAAATATTTTAGATTTTTTTAAACCCCTATATATGTTAATTTAGCTATACACCCCCTACAATAAAAGTTTAAAAATTAATTAAAGCACCCAAGCCACCCAAGAGGGCACGGTGGTTGACAGTCGTCGAAACTGTAAATGACTAGTTGGATCTGGTCGGTTGTGCGTCGACATAGACGACCAAAATTTGACCATTGTCAACGGCCAAATAGATTTGGCCGTTAACGACTAGATCTGGTCAGAATCTAGTCATATATCTATTCATTTCTAGCTAGATCCATGATGGATTTGGTTAGAAATGGCAAGATCAGATCACAATGTAACAACTGTTGTAAACTAGTAAAATGCTTGCATAATAATAATAGAAAATGGGCCCAAAACTTTTCTTTCTATTATATGTAATAAGCCTTTTATACACAAAGAGTATTATTTTACAAAATGCCATTTAAAAGACAAAAACATGGGAAACAGTGTAGCTATTGCTCCTTGCTTGCCGACGCCCCTCCGACTGCATCATCACCTATATCCTGCATCCACAAAGGAAAATGACGGGGTGAGCACAAAATAATGCTCAGTAAGTAAACCCTCTATTTGTCTATCCCCATAACTATTTTTCTTAATTCCTTCCTCACACTTTCTTTCTATTGTTTTCTACTAACGTTATGGCCTCATCTTACCGGAGGTACGGCCGGATGACGTTCACACAACACCATCTCACTCTTCATGACTGTCGGGTGGAGTTCACACAGCACCAACCAACCCGCTCTTAGTGACTACCGAGTGGGGATCACAAAGCATCTACCCGGTTTTTATAACCATTGGGTGGAGACCACAAAGCACCTACCCATTTCTAATGACTTTTGGGTGACGATCACAAAGCATCAACCCGTTTCTAATGACTATCGGGTGACGATCACAAAGCATTAACCCGTTTCTAATAACTATCTCTACTCTAGCACTTCTCATTCTCTCTACCTGTAGAGTAGTTGCATTAACAAAGTTCTCTACTCATAAAGCAAGTGCATACACAAAGTTTTCTACTCTTTCTTAAGTCACTTCTCAATGCACAAATAATGCATATGGATGGTTCATCTCCACTAATGCACTTATGAAATGCCAACATGCAATGTTGCAAGAATTAAGGTTCACTACTCATACTCAAACCTCTATTAGGCATTTCATCAAACAACTCAAGTGCATAACAAGACTCTACTATAACAATAATTCTATGTCTTTTTCTAACCATCCAAAATAGGAGAAAACTCCCTCACATAGCCATAAATCCTGCCATAGAATAACGCTGCCAAAAAGGATTTCTCAATATCCTTCAATTCCATCTCAAACTACATTCCCAACCCACATCTCACTTCTCATAATTGAAGTGTATGAACAACCACAAAGCAATAATTATCTCCATTTAAATCTTAATAACATAGCATATCACATGTATATACATACACACATAATTGCTATTAACTCTCTATTCAAGAAAGTTCTCAAATCTCTACTTGGGTTGGGGTTTACTTACCTTGTGATGGAGAGATCTCACTAGCTCTTCCTTTCTCTTGGTTTGCTTGATTTTTCTCTACCCTTTAAACAATTAAACAATTCAACCAAAAGACCTCAATATTCAAATATACATAAAATCTCACAAAACTTCACATCCAAAGCAAGAATCCTTACCTTAGGATGCCTTAGATTGATTTTCTACCCCAAATCACTCCAAAAGCCCTCTAAAAATCCTTGAACAAATGAAAGAGAAATTGAGAGGAAGTAAGAAAGGAGAGTGGCGGTGGAGAAGAAGAATGAAGGGTTTGCAATGACTTAATTCCTTTTAATACAATTTATGCACAAGCATTCCCATTTTGCCCTTACTCTTCTTTGGGAAATCCATCTATATCCTTTGATTCATTATAAACACATCCCCATATTAACATATTCTCCAAGCAAATTCCTTACATTTTACTCCACACTTTTTCTACTAATTAGGGGTAGAATGGTCAAATTGCCCTTAGGGAAGAAAATATCTAAAACTTAACAAACATTTTGGTCGGCCCGTCGCTGCGGCGAAGAACCTTCTGCCGCCGCGGTGAAACTGTCCAGCAGCTTCCACGTGGGCTTCAACACCTCTCCGCCGCGGCAAAGATTCTTCTTCGCCCCGGCGAAGCCTAGAACACTAAACTTCTTCTATTTTCAACCAATTTCAAGGCAAGTATTAAACATACCACTCAATCAAAGGCCAACCAAACAATAATACTAATAAACATATTCAATTAAGAGCAAAAGAAGAAACATTGGCTACGTACCTCAAGTGGGTCGTTACACACAACTAGCCAGATCTAGCTGGTCGTGCATTGTTCTGGCCACGATGGCTAGTGGTGGCCGACGACATGCAATGGTTGCTGGCAGGTAGTGGTGATCTTGGGTGGATTAATTTTCAAATTGGAAGGAGTGAAAGGTAATTGTTTTTATTGAATGGAGTTAGACAAATGTTTTGAGTTGAATAGAATAGGATAATATAAAACAAGTCCACCCAGTTTTCATTTTGAGACAAAAAAATCTTATTTAAGTTGGATTAATTTTCTGAATGAATTAATCCAATAAATAAATAAAATATATTTTGTTTTTTAATCAAAATAGGATAACAAAATAATGATTCAAAATAGTGTAACAAATAGGGGCATACATTCTTCAAGCTATTTAGTTGCAAATACTTTTAATTTTATGAAGCTAATCAACAAATTTTCATAAAAATTGTAAAAATGAGTAAAGTAAAAGACCCGGAGATTTGAATGGAAATTAAACCATATGACCGACTGACTGCATTGACTTGATTAAATAATAGCAGGTTAATCACATAATTTCCACGCTCATTTAAAAAGTCACCGTAAGTTGCCTGTGAGGACCAACTATTCACAGACCAATTACAACCGACGATTCCACATCTGATTGGTCTGTTCAAGCTGAAAGTTCGTCACTCTCACGCATCGTATCCATCTCCCAAATTGCGTATCGCCCATAAACGGCCTACAATTATAATCGGTGTCACCAATTTAATTTTTGGCACCTAAATTGAAAATTTCCCCTCTTCAATTTTCAAAACCCTAGCGTTCAATATATAAAACTACTCCAGTTTCTGTCTTGCGTGAAAAAGGTCAGTTCATTTTATTTATATTTTCTTTCTTTAGTTCTTGGTGATGATTTTTTTTTTTTTTTTTTTGTTTTTAAATTGGGCGTTTGTGGGATATTGATCCGTGATTGGGATTAGGGGTTTTTTGTGTTCTAATTCTTGGAAAGTGGTTGTTATGTTTCTGATTATTGTGAGAAGAAGTTGATTGAGGCTTTCGATCCTATTAGCGGCTAATTGTTATTCATAACCAAACTTTTGGGATTTTTTATTTCTGTTTGTTTTTGTTTAATTACGAACTAGAAACGGAAAACCCACGTTACAGAATTCACGTATCTGAAGATATATATGCTGCCGAATGGTATTATGAACTAAGAAAGCTTTTATATAGCTGAGTCTTTGTGCTTGCATGTAGATAAAGTTTAGGAATTTAGCCAGATGTGGGGCATAGTTTGGGCGTTAAATGGAAATGATGGTTTATATTCTTCCTACTTTTTAGAAGCAACTTCAACTAATAATCTGGATTTGTTGGATTAACATTTTATATTAATTGTTGGATTTGGATTGTCTAATATGATTTTGGGTTGTTGAGTCTGAGAACTCTCTCTATATCTCTCTCCTTCTCTCTAAATCAGTTATATTTTTGTTATTAAGTACAGCAGAAGTAAATGAAAGGGGAAGGAGTTATGGGAGACCATTCTCAACGTAGAACGTGGCCTGGGAAGCGGACTCTTAATGGCTGTCAGCTGAAACGGAATCTTGATAATGTTGTTTACATTGATGTCGATAGTGAAAGTCTAGATAATGTTATTATCATTGATGTTCCTGAGTCTTTGCAACAAAAAATACGGGGATCTAGGTTAGGGAAAGGTAAAAAAATCCAGTTTGGGGGCATAATTAACATTGATGATGATGAAAGCAATGGTGTGGAGTATCCTGGGGTTGGTGTAGAAGGTGGTGCTGATTTGGACAGTGATACCTCTTCTAGCCAAAGTTTTCCTGCCCCTGCCTTTGTGCATAAATCTGTAAACTTAGGCGATGATGAATGCCAGGTTGTCCATGAAAAAAATTCTGCATTCAGATTTTCTAAGTGCAAGCAGTCCTACTCTGGGAAGTATCACTGTAGAAATCGTTATGGTTTAAGTCCAGAGAGCGAGAGTGGCTCGTCGGATAGTGATTGTTCTGATTGTGAGCTGATGGAAGGTTCTTTTGGAAAGCTTCATAAAGAGTGGGAAAAAGCTTCTCTGAAGAGAAAATCTAATTTTTGTCGAGGTAAATCTGGTTTAGAGGATCAAGCTAGCCCCTCTTGTGTGAATGATGATATTCATCTAAATATGGATGCGGAAGGAGAGAAAAGGGCTGAACAAGACTCTGAATCTGCCTTTCGCTGTAAATCAAGCACAAACAATTATAAGAAGCGGAATTCTGCCTTCGTTCCAACGGATGATGGAGAATTGGGCTCTTCTTCTCTAAATTCTGGAATGAGATGTTCTTTTGTGGAGTCTGATCAGAAATGTGGCCAGGAAAGTTTTCCGTGGTTCAAACCTGGTTTAATGGAGAGAGTGCACTCTGCTCGAAAGAAGGCTGATTTTCAGTGCAGAGGAGAAAAGTTAACTAAAGATCCTTCTTCTAGCTCATCTCGATGTCAAAGTTATAAGCATGCGGACAGTTGTGGTAGTAGATTTCATGATAAAGAACAAAATTCTCATGGTCCTTTCTGGTCCAACCAAGAACAGGGTGATAAACAATGTCATAAGACAGGAATCTGTTTTATGGGTAGGCAAAAAAAATTTATGGGAGAACGGTTTATGCCACAAGGGGTTAACTGGTTTTTTAACCATAGGAAAACTAATTTGGAGGATGAAGAGGCTTATTTATTCAAGGGTCAACGATCTGGTACAACACATGCCCATAATGAGAGAGTTGTACCAAGTGAGAAATATGAAGAGTTTTCTCAGACATCTAGTTGCTGTGTGTCTCATCAAAAGGCTCATAATGCTGGAACTGGATTCATGGAAAAAGAGAAACCTGTTTCTAAGGAGCCCTTGGTGTCAAGTTCTCGACCATCTTATGAAGCAGGAGCTGAATGTGGTGTAGCTCCTGCTGATCATAATGTTGGGGATGCCTTTGATGAATCTTTCTTATGTAAGACTTCCTCAACAAGGATGCCGGAAGTTTGTAAGGAGAAGGTTGGCCAAGCAGATACAGAGAAACCAGACTCCAAGAGGATTTCTGTGTGTAACACAGAGTGTGCTGAAACACAAAGTGAGCAGTGGAATCAATGTTCGGAAGAACTCAAGGAGCAAGTTATTGGTTCAACAGCTGATAGTCAACTAGGTAATGGAAGGGATCCAGTTTATGCTCAAAGTGATGTTGTCATACCTAATTTGCAAAATGATATAATTAGTGACCGTGAAAAACTCAAGGAGACTGATGAGTACAAGCGAGCAATGGAAGAAGAATGGGCAGCCAGGCAGCGGCAGTTACAAATTCAGGTTTGGAACATGTATTAAGTTTTTTATTATAGTTACACAATGTGGACTCAAGCTCTCCCTTGCAATAGTTCTTGCAATGATGGATTTTATAATTCTATTGCATTTAGAACTCTGACTATAAGCTTTATCTTTATGAGCTGTAAATTTTTTATTGTGGTTTGTTTCTATGCTCTAGTTTTATTGAAAAAGAATTTGGATACTTTTAGTTTTACAAAATTGACAGCCTTCTTAGTAGCATACACTCATCATCAAATTTCATCACATTTCAGTGCATTTTGTAATCCAAGCTCAAAATTTCATTCGTATATGATGGCTACAACAATGTGCTAATTGAGTTTCTGCTTTTCTCTTTCATGATAAGTATTGTTCTTATTTTCCTATGTTTCTTTTAAGGATTTCCACATCAGCTGTCTGATTTTTGAATTAAGTTTGAGAGCATGATTACCACTGCAGTAAGCAGTAACTGTCTTTTGTTAATATATGCTCTCGTATGGATGTAATCAAATTTTTGGCTGTGTGAAATGCTTCAGATACTGTTATGGATGAGGGCTATGATGGTAGTAATTCACTTTCATAGATGTGTTAGGAGTTGGTGATCATAACTATTTAGTCAGGAAGTTTCCAACATGCAAAACTTTCAATTGAAGAGCTTGAAATTATATTTGATATATCTGTGGCAGTAGTTGCTATGCTCTTTATGCCTTCTGGCTTATGCTGACTAAGTTATATTGTTGCATGCTATATTAATATTGTTCAGCATTCTGCTTGTGCACTTCAAAGAAACTAAAATAAGCTAATTTTTTAGATGAATGATGTTGAGATGATCTTAGCTGATTGATCATATCATTTGAAATAATTCTTGCTCTTTTTCAGGGAGAAGAGGCCCAAAGGTTGCGTAAGAAAAGAAGAGCAGAAAGTATTCGTTTATTAGACATGGAGAGAAGGCAAAAACAACGGCTGGAAGAAATTAGGGAGACGCAAAAGAAGGTTTGTCTTAATAATTTCAGTCTCTTTTGAAATTATATTCTTTTGTGGTTATTTGATCAATCATGTTCATCTCTTTATTCTGAGGGACATTGGCCAAAATAGCCACATTTTAAGGCAAATTTTGGAAAATAGCCCATTCCATAATTTTTTGTAATCTGGCCATACTAATTCACCACACTATATTACTATTACCTTTCTTTTCAACACCACCATTTTTACCACTCTTATCAAAGTAAGAAAACCTTACAGTGAGGAGACCTAAGATATTGAGGGAGAATGCAAGAGATTTAGACAATAAAAATCATATTGCATTTCATGATTTTTAAGAATCAAATTGCATTAAAATCCCAATATTTCAAGAAAAATCTGACAAATATGAAAATTTACTTTGATTTTTGTTGCGTTTAACATGGTGTTTCAGTGATGTCGAGCGCCATCGAGTGACTATCAAGCACATATGACAATTATTGAGCATGACATATCTAGCATATTTGAGCTCTAAATTCGAAAAATTTGTTGACGTTTTTCATGCTTGAAATGGCTTTTGAGCACCATTTAGTGTTGTCCAGTGACCATAGAGTGTGTTCTAGCACTGTTGAGCCAATATATACCTGAGTTGTCTTAAGTGAAAAATAAGTGGTCCTTTTGTCCTATCAAATTGAAGGTGGCTAGGTTATGAGAAAAAAAGGGAATGATTATATTTCAATCATTTTCTAAGGGTGTGGTTATTTTGGGTAATTTATCTTATTTTTATTATCAATATACTCTTTTGTTTCTGACCAAGAAACAAAAAAATCATGTCTTCTGTTAAATGATGCCTAATTCAGGATGAGGAGAATATGAACATGAAAGAGCAACTCCGTGTTGAAGTGAGAAAGGAGCTTCATAAATTGGAAACAACATGCATTGATATGGCATCATTACTTCGTGCCTTGGGAATCAATGTAGGAAGCAGTTTTCATCCCTTGTCAAATGAGGTAAGTGAAATTCTTATCCATGTTATTATATGGTTTGTGTCTTAAATCTTTATTAATAGTGCAATTTGTGTAAAGTCCTAGTGACAAGATTTAGGATTTGTTTGATAGCTGTTTTGAGTGGTAGTTTTATTAATAGAGCTTTTGTAAGATTTTTTTTGCATGTTTGATAGTCAATTTTATAACTGCTGTTTCAAGTGTTTTTGCATTTTAAAATTTTCATTACAATTTGATAAATGACCGAGTCTCTAAGAGAAACACAGAATTGAGTTCCTTGTAATAGATGTAAATGACTTCACAGAAATGTAAAAAGTAGATATTGGTGTTCAGCAAACAATTTAAAGAATTGAATTCAGAAAAAGTTTCTTGTTTTCTAAAAGTTATTTTTGACCTTTCAGAAACCTCATCAAATTGAATCTTAATCTCAACTTAGCAACCTTTGAATTTTATTTGTTGGTACAACATGTTGTGTTTCTTTCATATACCGTTGAAATGAAGTGATACCATTTGTTTTGAGTTGTTTATGGCCTATGATTAACTGCTTTAACTTGTTTTGAAGTCTTGTGATTAGAATTATGTGGGTTTGGCTTATTTATTGGCCATGCAGCCATGGGCAAGTGGCCATAAACAACTCACCAATTTGAGTCTGTCATCCTCTTGTCTTTATTAATATTTTGATGATGAAGATTAATGGCCTTTTCAGGTGCATGCGGCTTATAAACGAGCTTTGTTAAGATTTCATCCTGACCGAGCATCAAAGACTGACATTCGACAGCAAGTTGAAGCTGAGGAAAAATTTAAGCTTATTTCTCGCATGAAGGAGAAATTTTTATTAACTTTATGTCATTAAATGCTAACAAAAGGTTTTTTAAATATACGCACAATTCTTTTTGTTGGTAATGATTTCCATTGAGAAGGTTAGTTCCTCAGATTTTCCCATAAGATATCAGTTAGGATTCTTTAGTTGGTTCTCACTTGGTGAGCAAAATTGTATTTGTAAAGCTGTTGTTATTTTCTCTACTTAGGCCAGAAAAATCGTTGTTCAAAACATTGTTTGTATCTTTTCCTCATGGGTTGTGCTAAGAAAAGAGGTTGTATAGATTAGCCTTTTGTTTTGGTATGTATGAACTGCAGCTTCATGTGAGTATTTACTTAAGAGGCAGGTTAAATAGGAGGCTCGGACCAGTCTTATTTATTTTTTTATTTACTTTTTTGTAAAAAATTTTTAAGCCTTATATTTAGTGTTATTTTCATATTAAATAGGAGGTTTTGGATAATTTATAAGGGTTATATGTAATTGGGGAGAGGGTTTGGGCCTGGGCCTTGGAAGAGAGACCGGTCTGGGCTCAATCTCTCTTCTATTGGGCCTGGTCTGATCCTAGGATCGAGTTTTTGGCCCGGGTTTAGTTCTCACCTCTATTAATTTGTTAGATGAGAGGGAAGTATTAAGACTTGTGACATGGTCATTAAGTTATAATAATTGCATTTATTACTAAAACAATCATGTGGATGTGGGTAATCATAGCCGCTGTCATGTATACAAGGCAAAGGATCATAAATAACTGGTCAAACTTTGTGCAGAAGTCTATGATATTTAAAAGTCGGAAGGGATGACAAAATGCTTCATATGTTTGGGTACTCTTGGGAACCGCTCTATTGGGGTGGGGGTAGAGGAGTTAATTTGAGGAATGGGGAGTATATTAATTCTCCATGTTGAAATGGATGTGGGACGGATACAGTACACCCCCCACCCCAAACCCACTTCATTTCCCATTATAAAATTTATGTAAAATATTTTTAATCAGGGAAATAATTTATCATTATTTTTTTATTTCACATTTTATAGGAATGAAGTCTTAAAGTTCTTGATGAAGAGAAATCAAGAAGATGCTAGAAAATAAATGATGCTATGGGCATACTAAAAATTATTTTATAATTTAGTTTTTTTTCTTAATTGTTTTGGTTATGCTTTGTTTAAACTTTTAAATTTTTAATATAGCTACAATATGTTATGATTATTTTTATTTAGAACATTTATATAGCCTAGTTAGTAAATTCGTGAATAAAACACAAACTATACGCCCAGCCGTATAATTCACATATTATACGTGAATATTCTCGTATCTGAATTTTTGTCGAATTTTTGTAAACGTATTTTTTATTATTTGCTGTATCATACTTGTACCTTTTTTTTTTTCTGTACGAGTATATTTGAAATTCTATATTGATTTTAACTAGGTGGTCCATAAAAAGTGCCAAAATCAGGATTGATATTGCCGTATTTTTCAAAACGTATTATTGACAATGTGTCGTATTAAACCCATACTATATTTTTCTCGTATTTAAATTTTATGGCCGAATTTTTACAAACGTATTTTTTACTATTTGGCGTATCATACCCGTAATCTTTTTTTGCTGTACCTGTATTTACTAACTAGGTTATATAGTAATAGTTTACTTAATTATAATGCTGTTTATTTTAAATGTGATTATTTATATGGTTTTTATATAAATAAATTGGGGAACGGAGTGGGTTTGAGAAAAAAACATTTTCCATGTGGGGATTCCCCATCCCCTGCCCAAGAACGGAGAACCACCCTATTGGGATACCTAAATATTAATGTCAATGTTTAATTAAACACTTCTATATAGCTTAATCATTTTGCTAATAACTTGAAACTCACGGATAGTGTTACAGACTTAGCTGATAAAATGACCAAACACAAACACAGGCAATATAATGAGGGAGAACCATCTGGGGATCACCAGTATCACTTAATAAACGAAGATCTCTGAGGACCTCTCTCGACCCCTTTATGGTGTCTTATAATTACACCTCCCGACGCATCTCTAAAATCTAAGTTGGTTTTCACTTTTCCCACACATCATTTATTATTCTTGGCTTCTATTTTTAGGTATAGAAATTTAATTAAAAGTTTACCACGTCACTTGTAGAAGTTATATTTATTTCTTGTACTAATTAACCTTTTAAAAAGCTTTGTCAAAGAAGTCAAACCCCACAAGAAAATTTTCTGGAAGAAATCAGTCCCAAAANTAACTAGGTTATATAGTAATAGTTTACTTAATTATAATGCTGTTTATTTTAAATGTGATTATTTATATGGTTTTTATATAAATAAATTGGGGAACGGAGTGGGTTTGAGAAAAAAACATTTTCCATGTGGGGATTCCCCATCCCTGCCCAAGAACGGAGACCACACCCTATTGGGATACCTAAATATTAATGTCAATGTTTAATTAAACACTTCTATATAGCTTAATCATTTTGCTAATAACTTGAAACTCACGGACAGTGTTACAGACTTAGCTGATGAAATGACCAAACACAAACACAGGCAATATAATGAGGGAGAACCATCTGGGGATCACCAGTATCACTTAATAAACGAAGATCTCTGAGGACCTCTCTCGACCCCTTTATGGTGTCTTATAATTAAACCTCCCGACGCATCTCTCAAATCTAAGTTGGTTTTCACTTTTCCCACACATCATTTATTATTCTTGGCTTCTATTTTTAGGTATAGAAATTTAATTAAAAGTTTACCACTTCACTTGTAGAAGTTATATTTATTTCTTGTACTAATTAACCTTTTAAAAAGCTTTGTCAAAGAAGTCAAACCCCACAAGAAAATTTTCTGGAAGAAATCAGTCCCAAAAAGACATATCTAAGGTGGTGGGTTTTTTTTTTTTTTTAAATCATTTCTTTGTTTCTATTTATAAGTGTGTGTGTATATATATATATATATATAATTAAAGAGCCCTGTTATAGAAGTCATATTTGTGTGTCTGTTCTAATTGCATTTCTGGTAATGGTTGAGCAAATTGCCTAAAAAAGACATAGTCCCAGAAGACTTTAAAACAGGAATACTCTTCAACAAAGGATACAAATCTGTTCGGTAATTGTTGAGATGAATCCAAATATTACACACTCCAGAATGACTTTCTATTGAATCCTTTGCTAATTACCTGCGCCAATGTTTCCAAGTCTTGGTTATGAGCACCGAAAACAAAAGTTTATTTGAAATTCGATTTTACAATGAGTGAAGCACGACTGGAAGTCCATGTTGAGGGCGAATTGAGATAACCTGAACTGGTGAGTGAACATAAGTTGGTGACAATGTGAACCTGTATCGTTGCAGAATCATTGAGAGTGCAACCTTTGTTTCTATCATAGAAAAGTTCAAGCCCACACAAATCCGAGGTCCCAAGCCAAAAGGACAAAAAGCTGCCATGTTGTTATTGGTAGCTTTAGCTACCCCTTCTGCAAATCTCTCTGGTTTGAAAAGGTGGACATCTTCTCCCCATATTTGAGGATCATGGTGAAGTGCTAGAACTGAAATCGAGATATCCATATTAGCTGGTACAGTAACACTTCCCAATTTTACTTGGGATTTGGTCTCCCTCAAAACGGCAACAGCCGGAGAATATAGTCTCAAAGATTCATTGATTATCATACTCATCTACAAGGAAAAAGACAGACAATTTAGATACGAAACGGAACACCAGTGAATGTGATTTATTCCACCCAAAATATGTAAAATTTGTTCAAAGTCATTGATTACTTACAGTCTTTAATCTTGAGAGGCTATCTGGACTTGGATTTTGTTTGCCAAATAATTTGAGAACTTCCTCCCTAGCTTTGTCTTGCCAATCGGCGTTAGTGGCAAGAAGAAAAACAGTCCAGGAGAGTAAGCTTGCGGTTGTTTCATGTCCAGCAACGTAAAATGTCTTACACTCATCTATCATATCATCTATGGATATTCTCTGAGTCTGATCCTCATGGTGATAAGCCTTCATTAATAATCCGAGAAGATCACTGCCATACCTGTCTAGTTCTCCCGTGCTCACATTATTTTCTCTCTTCATTATCATCTTAATAAGGGAGTCTTTTATATCTTTCTGGAGTCTGTCTGCTTCAATATCATCACGAGTCTTCAGAAGTTTACTACAACAATAAAACATGGCACCTTATGAAAGTAGAAATTATAAAGGGCTAGGCTCAATTTTGTGAAAAACAAAATTAAGGAACAGTTTAATTAAATCTCATGTCTTCGGATGTTAATTTGCTTGCTTTTTATAGTGGTTTCTTTGTACTAATAGAGGACTCAGAAAGATAAAAACTTACTTAAGTACAGGAATCCTAACTTTGAATGCGTTTCTGGTTAGGATGAAAGCCATCTTTGTTAACATATCAAATATCTTCTCCCCTTCCGTGTAACTGCTCCCAAATGCTGTTCTGGAGATTACTTCTGATGTTAAAATCTTGAATTCTTTGAATACGTCAATCTCCTTGCCATCATAATGTCTCCATCTCTCCAGCATCATTTCCACACTGGCAATTATTGCTGGGGTCATATTCTGAAAGAGGAAACATTAGATGTTGGGTAATCAGTCGATTGATGTTAGTGGCTTAATGCAAGAGGTATTATTAGCTTACACATAATACATGTCGCTCCCTTATTGGCTATTAATTTATTATGTTTGACTTAATTCAAAGGGATAAAGTTAAGTGTACAACTTTAGTAAGTTTCAAAACTAAGTGATATTTTTGTGCATCTTTTAAGAGATATTACCTCTTATTACATTACTATGCATTAATACAATTGAGTAGAGCATCTACCATTCACAAGAATACAAGCATTTACCTTTAAGTTCTCCGCATGGAAAGCATGGTTAGCAATTTTCCTTTGCCTAAACCATTTTTCACCTCGAGCTGATGCAAGCCCATCCCCTAAAAGCTTTTTCGCAAAATATGTTAAATCTCTTTTGCGATATATTCCATCTTCTTTGTCATTCAGTATCTGTTTGATCAGATCAGGCTCCGTGACTACTAATTGAGGTTTAGGACCATACCAGAAAAGGAAGTTCTTACCTACACATGTACAGGTTCATGGATGAAATAATAAATAAAACTAGTAATTTAAATTGTTAAAAGCTTTTTCCTCAATAAGTTATTGAGATTGGTGTTACCATAAAGCTTGGTCCAAGAGTGAACATGAGGTTCAATTCTCGGTAATATGTGATTTGATAATTCCATGGGCGTGGCCATGATTTCGTTCCTCATGCGAATGATCTCTTTAGTGTTTCCATAAATGAATTTGTACGAAGGACCTTTGATACCTTGAGGCATCATCTTAGATTGTATGCAAATCGGAGTCCACCAGAACTTGTGAATGAACTTGATGAGAACTGACAGAAGTAGCAAACACACACAACTTGAAAGGTAGATTATCATGGCTTCCATCACCACCTGAACCTTGTGCTGTATCCTGTAGAATCAGTCAACAATTTTTAGTTTCTGGGTCTTCAAGTTCAAGTAGATGATCCTGTTTGTGTTAATTTGTAACAACCTTTGTGCTTATATACGAAGTTTATCCAACAATCACTAGATAAATCTAATAAATACCTTCTAAGATCTTATTTGAATGAATTTAATGGACACAAGTAATACACAAACAAATATCAATCAAACATAAACAGCCAGGAAATCAACTTTACGTGATTCATCAGAAGTTTTTGCAATCAAGAAGACACCAATTTCTCATAATAAATGTAAAGAATAACAATCATATAATTATTACCTTCCTCCGTTAGCTTTCTGATCTTCTCTCAGTCCTCTTATATTAGGATTTTATGCTCGTCTCATACACTTGTTTTGTTTTTCTTCTTGTCACAAAACTATCCCCTAATCCCAAGTCAAAACACTTTTTGACTCTAGTTACAAAATTATAGTAAGAATCCCAAGCAGAACAATACAAAACTATCCCTTGTGAATGGGCTTTGAATTTTTCAGCCATTATTATTGAAACAATTGCCAACATTGATCCCAGTCACAGTCACAGTGGGTCCTGATCTTTCTCACTCATTTTAGCTGTTGCGAACTTGAGCCACAAACCACCCCCCGCTTACATCCAAAGGAGAAATGACAAAAAATACAGTCAACGAATGAATTATCTGTGACGTTTGGCAACTTTTTCAGCCCACCTATCTTGACAAGGATGAGCGCAGGCCGGCCAGGTCAGGGCTGGAGACCCCATTCTCCGTCCCGATATCCACTCCTGGTAACGTGCCGAATGCTCCAAATTAATAACACTCCTAACCTAACTACTGAATTGTATATAAGGTAAGCAAGGGTCGATCCCATAGGGAATGATTCGATTAATTTCTGTATTCTACAACAATGAAAACAACAGAAAAATAAAATAAAACTCTAAATAGTAAACATGACAACAGTAATGAAAGGGGGTTGTAGTCAAGACAAACTAAATAAAACAAAGAAATATCTAATGGTAGAAAATATCAGGTTAAAAGCAACCAGTTCTCGGTTCAAGATCCACCTAAATATGCATTGGATATGAACTAACCGTAGCACTATTCTATCTTGTTATTATGGAACTACTAACCCTAGGAAACAACAAGCTCTGTTAACCGAATTTTCCCTTAATTGTCACTACTGAAATAGGCTCTCCAAGTAGATCCCAACCCTTGAACAACCTAGAATAAGCTTACACCCCCCACCCCAAACCCACTTCATTTCCCATTATAATTTTATGTAATATTTAATCAGGGAAATATTTTATCATTATTTTTTTATTTCACATTTTATAGGAATGAAGTCTTAAAGTTCTTGATGAAGAGAAATCAAGAAGATGCTAGAAAATAAATGATGCTATGGGCATAGTAAAAATTATTTTATAATTTAGTTTTTTTTCTTAATTGTTTTGGTTATGCTTTGTTTAAACTTTTAAATTTTTAATATACTACAATATGTTATGATTATTTTATTAGAACATTTATATAGCCTAGTTAGTAATTCGTGAATAAACACAAATATTTGGCCAGCCGTATAATTCACATATTATATGTGAATTTTTGTATCCGAATTTTTGTCGAATTTTTGCAGACGTATTGTTCATCATTTCCGTATCAACCTGTACCTTTTTTTTTTCTGTACCAGTATATTTGAAATGTTATATTGATTTTAACCAGGTGGTCAATGAAAAGTGTTAAAATCAGGATGATATTGCTGTATTTTTTAAAACGTATATTGACAATATGTCGTATTAACCCCGTACTATTTTTTTCTCGTATTTGAATTTTATGGCCGAATTTTATATAACGTATTTTTTACTATTTGCCATAAATCCCGTAATCTTTTTTTGCCGTATCCGTAGTTTAACTAGGTTTATGGTAATAGTTTACTTAATTATAATGCTGTTTTTTAAATGTGATTATTTATATGGTTTTATATAATAAATTGGGGAACGGAGTGGTTTGAGAAAAAACATTTTCATGTGGGGATTCCCCATCCCTGCCCAAGACGGAGACCACACCCTATTGGGATACCTAAATATTATGTCAATGTTTAATTAAACACTTCTATATAGCTTAATCATTTTGCTAATAACTTGAACTCACGGACAGTGTTACAGACTTAGCTGATGAAATGACCAAACACAAACACAGGCAATATAATGAGGGAGAACCATCTGGGGATCACCAGTATCACCTTAATAACGAAGATCTCTGAGGACCTCTCTCGACCCCTTTATGTTGTCTTATAATTAAACCTCCCGAGCATCTCTCAATCTAAGTTGGTTTTCACTTTTCCCACACATCATTTATTTTCTTGGCTTCTATTTTTGTATATAAAATTTAATTAAAGTTTACCACATCACTTGTAGAAGTTATTTTATTTCTTGTACTAATTAACCTTTTAAAAAGCTTTGTCAAAGAAGTCAAACCCCACAAGAAAATTTTCTGGAAGAAATCAGTCCCAAAAAGACATATCTAAGGTGGTGGGTTTTTTTTTTTTTTTAAATCATTTCTTTGTTCTATTTATAGTGGTGTGTATAATATATATATAATAATTAAAGAGCCCTGTTATAGAAGTCATATTGTGTGTCTGTTCTATTGCATTTCTGGTAATGGTTGAGCAAATTGCCTAAAAAGACGTCCCAGAAGATTATAAAACAGGAATACTCTTCAACATAGGATACAAATCTGTTCGGTAATTGTTAGGGGTGAATCCAAATATTACACACTCCAAATGACTTTCTATTGAATCCTTTGCTAATTACCTGCGCCAATGTTCCCAAGTCTCGGTTATGAGCACCGAAAACAAAAGTTTATTTGAAATTCGATTTTACAATGAGTGAAGCACGACTGGAAGTCCATGTTGAGGGCGAATTGAGATAACCTGAACTGGCGAGTGAACATAAGTTGGTGACAATTGAACCTGTATCGTTGCAGAATCATTGGAGCAACCTTTGTTTCTATCATAGAAAGTTCAAGCCCACACAATCAGGTCCCAAGCCAAAGACAAAAAGCTGCCATGTTGTTATTGGTAGCTTTAGCTACCCCTTCTGCAATCCTCTGGTTTGAAAAGGTGGACATCTTCTCCCCATATTTGAGGATCATGGTGAAGTGCTAGAACTGAAATCGAGATATCCATATTAGCTGGTACAGTAACACTTCCCATTTTACTTGGGATTTGGTCTCCCTCAAACGGCAACAGCCGGAGAATATAGTCTCAAAGATTCATTGATTATCATACTCATCTACAAGGAAAAGACAGACATTTAGATACGACGGAACACCAGTGAATGTGATTATTCCACCCAAAATATGTAAAATTTGTTCAAAGTCATTGATTACTTACAGTCTTTTCTTGGGCTATCTGGACTTGGATTTTGTTTGCCAAAATTTGAGAACTTCCTCCCTAGCTTTGTCTTGCCAATCGGCGTTAGTGGCAGAAGAAAAAACAGTCCAGGAGAGTAAGCTTGCGGTTGTTTCATGTCCAGCAACGTAAATGTCTTACACTCATCTATCATACATCTAGGGATATTCTCTGATGTCTGATCCTCATGGTGATAAGCCTTCATTAATATCCGAAAGATCACTGCATACCTGTCTAGTTCTCCCGTCTCACATTATTTCTCTCTTCATTATCATCTAATAAGGGAGTCTTTTATATCTTTCTGGAGTCTGTCTGCTTCAATATCATCACGAGTCTTCAGAAGTTTACTACAACAATAAACATGGCACCTTATGAAGAGAAATTATAAAGGGCTAGGCTCAATTTTATATAATTGCTGTTTCAAGTGTTTTCGCATTTTAAAATTATCATTACAAATTGATAAATGACTGAGTCTCTAAGAGAAACACAGAATTTGAGTTCCTTGTAATAGATGTAAATGACTTCACAGAATTGTAAAAAGTAGATATTGGTGTTCAGCAAACAATTTAAAGAATTGAATTCAGAAAAAGTTTCTTGTTTTCTAAAAGTTATTTTTGACCTTTCAGAAACCTCATCAAATTGAATCTTAATCTCAACTTAGCAACCTTTGAATTTTATTTGTTGGTACGACATGTGTTGTTTCTTTCATATACTGTTAAAATGAAGTGATACCATTTGTTTTGAGTTGTTTATGGCCTATGATTAACTGCTTTAACTTGTTTTGAAGTCTTGTGATTAGAATTATGTGGGTTTGGCTTATTTATTGGCCATGCAGCCATGGGCAAGTGGCCATAAACAACTCACCAATTTGAGTCTGTCATCCTCTTGTCTTTATTAATATTTTGATGATGAAGATTAATGGCCTTTTCAGGTGCATGCGGCTTATAAACGAGCTTTGTTAAGATTTCATCCTGACCGAGCATCAAAGACTGACATTCGACAGCAAGTTGAAGCTGAGGAAAAATTTAAGCTTATTTCTCGCATGAAGGAGAAATTTTTATTAACTTTATGTCATTAAATGCTAACAAAAGGTTTTTTAAATATACGCACAATTCTTTTTGTTGGTAATGATTTCCATTGAGAAGGTTAGTTCCTCAGATTTTCCCATAAGATATCAGTTAGGATTCTTTAGTTGGTTCTCACTTGGTGAGCAAAATTGTATTTGTAAAGCTGTTGTTATTTTCTCTACTTGGGCCAGAAAAATCGTTGTTCAAAACATTGTTTGTATCTTTTCCTCATGGGTTGTGCTAAGAAAAGAGGTTGTATAGATTAGCCTTTTGTTTTGGTATGTATGAACTGCAGCTTCGTGTTAGTATTTACTTAAGAGGCAGCTTAAGGAAAGTTGCATAGATTGGCTTTTAGCTCACCTTTGTGGTTATTATTATATTACAAAGCTTAACTTCTATCAACTTCTATAATTCGTGATTATGTTGTCATTTTTTTTTTTTTTTAATCACTGGGGTGGTCTGGGCCAGTTTGCATGCATTTAACTAATCTCTTGTGGCTTTGGAATTGTCGGTCAGGTAAAAACTTTAGTGATCACCTCTATTTGTGCCTGGGGAGATTCGAATTCAAGAGTTTATGAAATTTTTTTTTGCTCTTTAGCCAAGTACTCCTAAGGATAAAAAGGTCATCTTCACTTGTGAACCTCAAAATAAAAGCATTACATAAAAACCACCGTAGACGTAGTGTTTTTGATTGGTATGTCACCCCAAGTGTACATTACTACAATTCTCAAATTATGTTCTATTTTACGAGGCATGAAGCAAGACTTGAAGTCCATGTTGTGGTTGAACTGTTATAAACTGAGCTGGTGAATGGACATTAGTTAAGAGATAGTAAATCTGTATCGTCGCAGAATCATTGAGAGAGTAACCTGTTTCTATTGTTGCAAAGTTCAAGCCTACACAAGTCCGAGGTCCCAAACCAAAAGTAAAAAATGCCGCCGTGTTGTTGCTGGTAGCTTTAGCCAGCCCTTCTGCATATCTTTCAGGTTTGAAAAGGTAGGCAGCTTT